CGAGACTGTCAGAGCCGCGGCTCGAACCAGCAACCTTCCAATTACAAGACAAACTCCCAACTCTTGAGCCACAATCGCCCCCACGAACGATGCACAGCGACTCCATCTGCTGCAAGATGATGTTGCAGGTGTTTGGAGCTGGTGTGTGGGTTGACTCTAACTGTTCTTCCTTCGTCTCTGCTTATCTAAGATTTTCCTTGACCTGTCACTTCCGGCCTTAACCAGGACTGTGTCTGTGGTTTTCCATTTCCTCACTATTTTCCTCACAGTGGAAACTGACAGCTGAAATCTCTGAGACAGCTTTTTGTATCCTTCCCTTAAACCATGATGTGAACCATCTTTGTTTTCAGGTCATTTGAGGCTTTTTTGAGGCTCCCTTGTAGCCACTCTCGAGAGAAGACGCAAAGAGGAGAAAAACTTGCAACTGGCCACCTTAAATACCCTTTCTCATGATTGGCTTCACCTGTGTATGTAGGTCAAGGGTCAATGAGCTTACCAAACAAATTTTATGTTTCAATAATCAGTGCTAAAGGTGTTCAAGTCAATAAAACAACAAGGGTGCCCGAATTTATGCAGCTGCCTAATTTAGTTTAAGTAACTATTGCACACTTTCTGTAAATCCTGTAAACTTCATTTCACTTCTATCATTGCGTGTGTCTCCTATATGATATATTGAAATAAAATGATCCAAACAAATAATGATTTATGAAGTAAAAATATGAGAATTATCAGGGGTGCCCAAACATTCACATGACTCTGTGTAGAGGATATGAAAATGTCCCCCACATACCTCACCACTGTAGGCATCGACCTGAAAAGTTATTAAGTCAAATTTGGAACAAATAAAAAAAATTAAATAATTTATGGTTTGTTGTGGCACAACTCTCACAAACATCCCGCTGACACTAATGACAAACCCTTCTCTGGTGATTGTTTGGTACTCTTTGGTAACTTCGTGAACGTCTCTTTACAAATGTGAAGTCATTTACTGAGTCCAACTTCACAGACTTTTTGTGGCCTCAGGTGACTGCTGCTGTGATTTGGAGACATATAAATAAAACTGAACAGTAGAGCAGGTCATCTACTAGCTACAGTGTTAGTGGTTTAATCCCTGGCTGCACCAGTTCGCGTGCCAAATGTCCTCAGTGAAGACACATCCATCAGAGTGTGAATGTGTGACTGCTGCATGAAAAGCACTGAAGGGTAGGAAAAGGTGGCTGCATGGACGGGTGAATGAGGCATGTATAAAGCACTTAATAAGATCCAGTCCATTTACTATTAATGTGGTTCAGTCAAATATATTGTAATGCAATATTTCAGTATATTTCGGTACCTGGGGTAAGGTGGTGGGGGGTCGTGATGCTCCGTCCTGACAAAGGGAGCACCATCTCGACTCTGAGGCAGCCCGGGGTCTGGCAGGCGCTGAAAACGTGACATCATTTCTGCAAAGATGTTCTCGGGCATCTCGCCCTGCCTCTGGAATCTGGCTGACAGTGGTTGATTATGATGGGAAGGGGACCTGGAAGGCTCCGTTCCTCTTTCAGCCACAGGAGAGCCGGCCATCTGCTTGAATTGTTCAGTTATTTCCTTCAGGGTCAGGTTGATATGGAGAGCTGGTCTCTTGAGGAAGGACTCTTTGCAGAGAGGGCACTGGTACATTTTTGTACTGTTTCCGTCCCAGTAGGAGGAAATGCAGGTTTGGCAGAAACTGTGTCCACATGGTGTTGTGACCGGTTTGTTAAATACTTCCAGACAGATAGAGCAGGTGAACTGGTCTTCAGACAGGAAGGCAGCAGGTAGTGACATAGCCATTTAGTTTTAAGCTGCATATAGAGACAGACAGAAGATTAGAAGAATATTAAACTGTGTGCATCAGCAAACTATT